CTACCGGGTTAGGGAAGCAGGCGGTAAAGCAGCGTTTACATTTTATTGACGTGGATGGTTCGGTCCGTTCCCCTAGTTCATCTTTGCCTGTTGGAAATATAGGTATCGGTTGATGTATCCGGAAAAATTCGAATCGCTTGCATGATGTGATGTATGAGCTACACAGCTGCGTGCACGCTGGCCAAATATAGTCTGCGCTGGGTGTTCTGGAAAGTCTGAGGAAGTCTTCAAAAGCCATCTGTGTGTGTGGGCAGATGTAGATGGTGCTCGCTGATGCCGTGCATTGTCTCTCGCGGGCGTTTACAGCCGTGCCTTCTGTTTCTAGAGCCCCGAAAGCTGAGCGAGGATGAAAGTCTAGACAGTAGCTGCATAGAAGTCTATCGCGCGGGGTATACCGTCTAGAGTCGTCGTTAGCCTCTTCGTACTCAACGAGTCGGTTAAAGCAATCTTTGCGCAATCGCCACGCATATTTGTCGAAGTCTGCGTCCCGCAGCGTCAACCGGCTCTGGAGGCTGATTGAAGATGACAAACCCCGGATGTATCTGCATGTTATGCGAAGGCTGAGTGCATCGACAGGCGGTAGCAGGTCGAGTATGTCCAAGATCAGCTCTCCAGGTAGGCGGAGCAGGTTTTGTCCTTCGTCTATACGGTTGGTCCCGCTGTGCGCTTTCCGCGGCATCAATATGAAGGCGGGATCTGGCTTGTGGTAAGCGCTGCGACGTCTTCCAAGGAAGCGGTCAAGTTTGTGTCGGTGTATGAAGTATTCCTTTGCGGCAGAATGGTCAGCGATATTGTGCCGAAATTGACGTATCGGTGCACCAGACATCATCTTGGGATTGTCGATCATCGCCATCATGAAGGGATCTTCGTAAGAATAGTGGCAAGGGAGGAGTCGAGGTAGAGAAAAATAGGGGAGTGGAAGTTTGTTGCGTTGATTACAAGCATACAAGTCAACCCTGGAAGGCAGCAATGGGCGCTAGTGATCACGTGCGCGGATACGCCCACGGTTTCCAAGGTTGATTGGATCCTTTTTGTTGGGTCATCCTATCAAAAGCATCTAATGATGCTGAGCTTGCCATGGAAAGAAAATCTACCCGCGCATCTGTTCACTGGTACTTTGTGTCAGCGAGCAGAACAAGTGAAGAGGAGGTGTGCTTGTACGTGACGGGTGAATCGGTCCATCGGGGCATAACGATCTATCCAGCCTAATTTGCTTCCGTTTGTCTTCTCCATACCGTAACCCAAAGTTCCGCCCCTCTGAATCTGGAAATACCTCTCAGCAGGTTCTGTCTCTGATCTGTATATGTGGACAGATATACATGTCCGCGTTTTGGACGACTTTGCGAAGCGTGGACAATATGGTTGATTTCGCGGAGAAGGAATCGCAGTTGATAGTGCCGCATCGGATGGGGAGAAATCCTAGCATCGGCCAGAGGTACTCATTGCTTGCCATGGTTAGATGTATCCTTTGGGATAATGGACAGTGGTTGCTAGCGCCGATTAATTTTGACCCGGAACTGCAGCTTGCGGAGCAGAGTGCGCATACCAGACGATCCGTGCGACCTCTGCATAGTTGGTTCAAGTCTTCGAAGGATAACTGCATATGAGGACAAAGGTATACCTTAGCTTGCGATCCTGTGCAGCGTCTTCGGTATGCAATCCCGGTACTATGCTTCGAGACTTCGGTTGCGCTAAAAGAGGAGATCGGGTGGAGGTCCATACAGTAGCTGCAGAGGAGCTTACCATAAGGAGTGTTGTTGGAGTTCTCATACTCTGCCATTCTATTGAAACAATCTTTGCGGATCTTCCAAGCGTGTTCGTCGAGGGCTTCGATTGGAAGTCGATGTAAGCGTGCTTGAGTCCCCTTTGTAGCAGTCAGACTCCGTATATATCTGCACGCTGTGCGGTAGCTAAGCAGATCGATAGGCGCTAGATGGTCTGCGATATTTGAAATTAGCTCTCCCGGTAGCCCAAGTAGATTGAATACGTTGCTGACCTGACTGTTTTTGCTGCTTACGTGTGGCGGCATAACGACGAGTTCAGAATCGGGTCTGTGGTAGTCGCTACACCAGTGTCTCCAAGCTTCACCATCGCGGTTAGATGAGTAGTGATAGTAGTGGTCGCACTGTCCTACAGATGTACGATCCAGGTTGCGTCGATACATGAAGTAGTTCTTGGCGACAGACCAGTCGATATGGTCTTGGGTCGGTACGTCAGTTGAAAGGCCGGAGGCGACAGTATTCGCCATCTGAGAGATGAACTAGAGTTGAGTCGTCAGGGACAAGGAGGAGCAATGCTGAGGCGAAAATGTAAAGAGATGAAGAGAGAGAGAGAGAGAGAAAGCGACGGAAACTCGATATTTCAGGCGAGAATTCAGGCAGTCGTCCTCACGTGCTCACTTTTCTCTGGACCCTGTTGAGCTGGCCGTCCCACCATATGTTGTGATAACGATAGGCCTACCATGGAATGGCAAGACTTGCACCAGAATCCCACAACCCAGCTGTGAGAAGTGGGCGGGAGCTCAGAATGGGTCACTGAAAGATCTTGTTAGCGAAGATATATGTTAAGAATATGATAGCGATAACAGCTGCCTAGATATCCATGACCCCGTTCCCATCTAAAGCAAAACGCCGGGCTACCCACAAGCCAAGTATACCCTTCAACGCCGTGCCACCCTATAGTATCATTTTGAAGCCAACAAGCGAAACCCCCTCTCCCAACTTGCAACAAATCTACATCTACTGATGTATCTGACTCACATGCCCCGCCTGTCCAGCACCACCCCACTCACTGTCATCATCACTACCCACATCCGTCCAGCTCGTAGGCGTCATAATGCCCTGCCTATCACCGTCGAACTCGCTAAAGCCGCCCTCGGAAAAGGCATCTGTGAACCCGCTTTCTGAACGCGCGTCATGGTCTGTGTCGTTTTGTTCGCTGTTGGGCATGCTGAGAATGGCGATGTCGTTGGCGGGGGCGGAGGCGACGGAGCCGCTCATGGTCATGGAGCGCTCGGAGCGCGGGGTTAGGGTGCCGGTGGAGAGGTGCTCGGCGTCGTTGTCGTCGAAGAAGGGATGGGAAGGAGTGGGTTCGCCTGCTTGCGAGGAGGTGAAGGAGTAGAAGGATTGGGCGGCTTGGTCGGCGTCTTCTTGGGCGGGTTGCGCGGGCGATGGGGACTCGGGGAGGGAGTGCTCGGGGTCGGGTGTTAGGTCGACGAGTGTGCCGGTGGTGGGTGTGGAGGGGACGTCAGCTACGATTGTAGCGGAGCTTTCGCGGGCGGCAGGTTCTTCGTAGGTGAATGGCTTCGGTGAGGGCGCTTCGTCTTCGTCGTGGTCGAAAAAAACTTGGTCGTCGGAGAAGGGGTTGGCCATGGTAGCTGCTGCTGCGGAGCCGGCGGCAAAGCCAGCAGCACCACGCTTCTTGAGGTCGCCTTTCGAGTTGTCCTTGCCAGTTGCCGTCGCGTTGTCCCTGAGCATGCCATCACTTCCGACCATGTCGTCGAAGCTTCTCGTCCGATCAGCCCTCGACCGCCTGGCAGCCACCTCAGCCGTCTCAGCACCGATCCTAGCCAGCTCGTCCAGGTCGACGGCGATACCCTCTTCCCTCGCCCGTCTGATCAGTTCGTTCCTATTCCTCCTGATCAACTCCTCCCTCCGTTGCTTCCTAGCTTCGAAGTCGTCCGACGATTCGCTCGGGCGGCGAGGCTGAATGTCATCGCCAAGATTATGCAGCGCGATGGCGATCTTGCGGCGGGTTTGATCGGCCCATTGTCGCACTTGGGGAGACTCGTAGATGGCGATACCGGCGGCGACGATGACGGACGCGGCGATTATGAGGCCTGATGTGAAGGTGTGGTTAGGACGGTGCGGCGGGGTTTGAGTGTTGCCTTGCGGAGATGCAAAGCGCGGGCCGGTGCCTGCAAGCAGGTTGGCATAGGAAAGTACAGTAGACAGCAAAGAAATACGCGACGAGAGAAATAACGTTGGATATGCTGGGGACACCGCAGCAACATGCATAAGTGGAGTTATCCGTACTCACCTTTGGCCAGTGGCGCAGGCATCTCTGCGGATTGTGTAGCAGCGGATGCAGTCGTGCGACTCGAATAGATTCCCTGATAGTGTGATGGGAAATGATAATAGGGAGGAGAATCCAAAGGCTTTTGACCTTGGAAGAGGCGTGTAAGGAGAGAAGGTTCGAGGGCTGAGAGCAATCATGGTTCGTCCGGTCCTTCGCCACTTGCACAGCCGCACATGCAGGGCCCGTGGAGCTGGGGGCTCCGGGCGGCTTTTGGTGGGGTCGCCTGCCGCCAATCTTGCTGCACATCGCCCCGCACCCGTTGGACTAACTACATAACTAGGCCCCTGGAACAGCATAATTCACTCATAGCTGCGCATATCTGTAGATTTGATGGAGTCATTATAAATTGGGCTGAGTATCACCAAAGTCTTCACGTCTACATCATGTTGGCAAGTCACTACACGAAAAGTTTGGGTCCACTTGAAGATTACACGCAGAAAATATCAATTGGAATAGACGACTACTTTTGGTTGTAGAAAGCAACGCAAGGTCGCAACGCACGCTGAACATAAAAAAGTCACATGTAGTCCTCAACCCGATTCTATCCCCCAAGACCAATTCTGTGTTGGGCAAGTAGCTTCTGGGTCCCATGATGAAGGATTTGATGAATATCGCAAAGCTCAGAGACATATCCTTGATCATCGGCGATGAGCGAAGAGAGCTCACACGGTCAAACTTTTCCAAAAGACGTGAACGCATCCAAATCAAAGCCAAATTTTTCTGGGGGAAAACATGAAAGCAGGAAGAAAGGATAGTGAAGAATGCCGACCGCCAAAAGCACCGAGTGGCAGTCATGTATCCATAGTAATAGCCGTGTTCAGTCGAGGTGATGGGGTTTGTTCGAGAACTCGATCGTCGTTGTCTTCAAGCAGAAGTACTAACTGGCGAAATGCATGCCAGAGGGAAGACATGGGTAATTCGCATCAGTCGCTATCGGATGTGGGAGGGGCCTCGTCGTCAGAGTTGGGCCAAGCATCGGTGTCAGGCTCAGCCTCGTCGTCAGAGTCGGCCTCGGGGCCAGGACCTCTAGCACGCTTCAGACGTGCCATGATAAGACCTGCAATGATGGCGTCCGTATGTTCATGGCTTCGGACTCGCTTATCGCCAGCCATTTCGAGGCGATATGGGCGATAGTTGGTCAAATCAGGGTTGTGGTCCCAACGCTTGGTGTCCCAGTTCCAGTAGTACGGTTCAGGCGATCCGCGAGCTCGAATGACCGTGCCTGTCTTGGTGGTGTGCAGAACGGCGCCGTCGTAAGGCATAGTCTCGGTGACGAGTGACTTTGAAATGCTGCTGACAGCCAACCATTCGTTCAGGTGCGACGGTGAAACCCATACATGCAACATGGAGTCTTTGAGCTCGTTTACCGAGAACCAGAACATACCGCCAGCTTCCAGTACGTCGTCGACCACGCAATCCGGTCGATCGCGTGCGCGACCTGTGTAAGGGGTCTTGTCGAGAACCCAAATCGGGATTTTGACGCCGCGGTAAACTTTAGTTTCGGTTGACTGCGTATCAACATGCTCGGGGTCGTGCGAAGTGATAGTTGTTGACATGTCAGCCGTCAAAGTTGCTGCGACTATATCTGAGATGTCGATACCGGTAATGACTGTACAGCGGGGAGCCTTCGTGCTGTGGTCACGTTGGTGTCGGACTTTCTTCTCAGCATCCTCTGACTATGGTTAGTAATAGACTTGTGACACTTGAACACTTGACTTACTGAGCACACTTGTTGTAGAGATGAACGGAGTCGGCTTGGTTTTCTTCCGCCCGTTCAAGTGTCTTGCGAAACGTTCAGTCGTAAAGTCTAAGTTAGGCTTGAGAGTTCCCCGAGACTGGAAGGCGTTGCGCTTCTTGAGCTTGAGTTTCTTGTTCTCGATATGCACCTGATGCTTGAATCGGGACACGTTGCTGGCCAGAGTCTCGTTACGCTCGTGCGACGGTCGATATACCTTTGTTGGACGTCCCTTTTCAGTGGCGCGCTTGCGTGCTGCCTTGTCTTTGAAGCTTCTTGGAAAGGTTAGCTTGAATGTCCTCAATCTAAGGATTCAAAGTACTTACAGACGAAGTGGGCCATGGAGCACCGATATTGTGATCGTGTGGTCCTTTGGATTGCCAGGCAGAACTTCTGGGACGACTGAGGCAGAGGGGAGTGACATTTTGTGCTTGTGGAATGTTGAGGATAGATCGTACTGGTACGAAAGGAAGTATGGTATGAGGACTGTTGACTTGAGAAGATGTGTTGATGAGAGCCAAAAGGTTAGAAGGAGTTGGTTGTAGTGGTAGAGGTTGATCGAGTATGAAGAGGTCTTTATATATCCATAGGAGCAGTAGCCTGTCGTGAGGCTAGACGCTAGCAAGCTGCCACATGGCTAAAACTCAAGTAAAGTCAAATCAGGCGGTATCTACAGTGGTGAGATAAGAGACTGGCATCTTGAAGCCAGGTCCTCTAGTAGAGGCGAGGCCTTTTGGGCCTGGCCAATACGTCCGAGCGAATCAATGGTGAGAGTAGTTCAAGATCTCTGACAATGTAGCCATATAAGAAGGGACTGTCTCGAATCGCGTAGGTTATCAGACTGGACTTAATGAATACATTACTTTGATAGATCACGACACGATGACGACCGGTGGACTGTGAGGTCTGCATGGCTATGCCAGATCTTATGTCTAAGAGTGATAATAGACCTTGACAACGAGAGCTGATATGAGCGGCGGATTGATGTGATAACCAGGCCTCAGTCGGAGTCACAAGCGTCGTTCGTGATGTTGGGAGATGCAGGTCAAGCTCGGTATAGCTGGCACACCTTCCGCCAAGACCTCCGCGCGCCTGATTGGCGGTCGCAACCGCGTCTCAGCGAGCTGTCACTTGCGACACGCAGCATTCCGAGGTCACACCACCACATTCCTAGAGATCGTGATCGGACAGCGCTTCCGACAGCTGCAATGAGTTCCTCTATAGAAACCGAGATTCTGAACAAGTACAATCTCACGACACTGTACCCCGCAACCTGGCCGCAGGAGAAGGACGAAGCCGACGAAGAGGATACGTTCGACGAGCCCATACCCAAAGCCACAAAACAATCGATACGGCGGTCCAAATCACGATACTCGGTGTTAGAGCCCAGTGCAAGATTCTCGCGGCAGGTTCCGGGAGCAGAACGCTCGAAAGATGGCGTGGAGACGTTGGTCCAGAAGGACGAACAGGACCCGTTGGGCATGTACCCCAGTGTAGTGCAGGTGCTGCGGGCAAAGAACATTCAGGTCGAGGATGATATCAAGTTGCGTATGTTTCAGAGATATAGCAATACACAAAAGGCCTGTCTAATGGACACACAGGCAATCGCTTCCTCTTGAGCTCCACTACCTTCTCGCCCTCTCTCTTCCTCTCGCAAGTCCACAATGAAGCGTCCACCGACTCCCTCCTCGCCGGCCTTGACTTCCTTTCCCGCTCGATCGAGAAGAAGTCTGCTTCGCTCAAAGTCTTGGTCGAATCCAACTTCGATCGCTTCGTAGGCGCCAAAGCTACCATCGACCGTGTATACAATGAGATGCGGGACCAAGGGAAGGAGCAAGTGGAAGCTCCCAACAAGGATCTTCAACCTGGCACCGGCAGACCCAGGGCTCGATCGAGCTTCTCTGGCCGAAAGACAAGCGCATCTCTGACACCAGGCATGGTCGACGCGGTGCCTGCCGAGAAGAGGAAGAATGCGCTCGTCAAGGAGAGCGAATACGGTGTACATGGCATAAAGGTTCCGCTGACTGAGGTCGCCGTCAAAGCGGAAGAAGTCTGGGGCCCAGCGCTAAACGGGCGGGAGCGGGAAGAGACATTGAAGTCCATCATGGAGTCTGTGGAGCACCATCGGGGTCTGTTTGAAGTCGGTTCAGCCATTCAAGATGCCATACGCCGGAAGGACCACGAAACAATCACCGAAGAATACAAGCGCGCGAGAAAATACGCAGACGAAGCCCGATACATTGTGGAACAGGCAACGTCTAACCAGAGGCCGCTGACTGATGCCGAGATACATCAAGTCATTGTGACGGCTAGAATGTGGTCAGACGTCGAGCGGCAGATCGAGCGTTTCAAGCGCGAATCCTGGAAACGCCTGACTGCAGCGCATTTCACGCACCTACAGACTGGAACCGAAGACACCAAGTCGGACGAGTATCTGAGTATCATCTCGATCATGCTTGAGCTTGGTGTGGAGGAGAATCCGATTTGGGTGTGGTTGCTCTCACGCTATGAGCACCTCAAGTTCCAGCTCAACTCCAAGTGCCAACACTCGCTTGTTGAGATCGAGATCCTTCGTCGTCATCTGGCGAACGGCGAGAAGCCGAGCATGCGCATGCTGCAAAAACATCTGCGATCAGTCCCTACCAGCAGCAACGTGAGTGCCGAGCCTTCAAAGCTCGACACACCAAAGGTGACGGAGTTCTGGGAACACGTCTATGCTTCGATGACTACCCTGCTCTCAAATAAATCGGGGCTGCTTGCTGAACTCGTTGAATACTGGGAGATTGTCCAGTCGTTCCTCTCTGGTCGCGCGCAACGGAACTTACCAACAGGCCATCACAATCAATCGTCCGTTCACCACCGGCTCAGTAGTGAGAACAAAGCTGAGCTTGAGAGAGGCACGACTGAACTTATCAGTATCCTGCGGGATCATCTGTTTTCGTTCTTCTCGGATCCTCCCATTGAGGATGTGTCCATGCTCATGTCACCGCTGCCCATGAGCCCGACACCAACCACACCTGGAACACCACTGAGCGCCGCTTTGAGTCCCATGTCAGCATCGAGGTCTAGGTTCGATCCTGCGAAAGCACCGCCACCATCACCTAGTCGCGGTGAATCTTGGGAGAAGTATGCTTTCTGGCCTCCTAATGCGAATGCGCTTTCGGGATCTCACTATCTATCCAAGATGCTTGTCTTGATCGGCACCGCAGCCAACGAACTTGCATCGCTTCAAGTTCCCGAATCAGGAGGTAGCGGCCGCATTGACGAAGCACTGCGCTTGCTTCTTGGCGGTGTCCGTGAGCGCTGCATTCAAGCTGTATGTGCAGCTTGGAACACGGATGCCGAGAAGTTGAAAGTATTGGAAGACTGGACTCGACATGTCGACCGCAAAGATACCACGAACCTACCCCAGCGTTTCCTCGCAGTACAAAGCTTTCTGCTTAACAACCTGCAAAAGATACTCTATGTCGAGGCATCGAGCAAGACAAGAGTGGACGTTGTTGTACCACCGAGCAATAAGCTGCTGCAGATGGTTAGAAGTCAATTCGTTACCAGCTTGTACAGGACACTAAGCGGAATGGTCGAATGCGCGGAGCGAGGCAGACAAGCTTTGGGTGCTGAGTTTGAGATCAAGAGTGATGATCTGACTATCGACGAGCAAGACGATCAGAATGGCAATGACTGGGGTAGGGTCGATGCCAACAAGAAGGTAAGCTACACCGACCCTGGCTTCACATGCTCTACTAATAAACGTCAGTCCATCCGCCTCCTCCTAACCCTCGCCAACATGTCCGCCTTCCAGTCCGAAATAACGCCCCAACTCCTCACCCTCTTCGAAACTCTCTTCAGCGTCCAACTAACCGACGAAACAAACCGCATCCGCGACGTCCTCTCCCAACTTGACGCCCAACTCTTCCGCTCCTACACAAAACCCCACGCCACAAAGATCCACTCTACAATCGAATCCGGCATCTTCAGCCCCACCTGGGCACCTCCCCCCGACAACCGCAAAAGCGTCGCAGACCGCGATCCCAGCCCCTACGTCTTCACCGTACTCCTAGATCTCGTAATCGTGCACACCGAGTCATCCACGACATCCGCACCCCTAACCCCGCGTATCCTGCGCTCCTTATTCGAAGCCACAACAACCTCGCTCATAACGACCTTCCAATCCGCCAACCTCTCCACCATCTCCCTCCCGCAACTCATGCAAGCGACCCTCGACGTGGAGTTCATGGCACAGACGCTTGCTTCGTACACGACAGAGAAGGCATCGCAGATCCAGACGGATATATACCAGGTGCTGGACCAGAAGACGGATAATGCGGCGAGAGTGAGGCTGCAGGAGGAGTTGGGGAGCTTGAGGGTGAGCTTGAAGAGGTTGAGGGAGGGGACCAAGGTGCAGTTTGCTTGCTTTAGGAGGGTTAAGAGGGGGACGCTTGCGGGTGGTGGTGCTGGTGGTGGGGCGGAGGAGGAGAGGAGGGGGAGGTAGATGGGTGTTGGTGGTTGGATGGAGGGGGGGGGAGATTGGTATGTGATAGGGAATTTATTCAAGATTGTTGATAACGTTATGGAAGCTGTGCGTGCGTGACATGCTTTGACGTATCCGACCTTGAAGTCGAGCATTCAAGAGACAAACGTGAATGCATGGAAGTATAAAATCTGCATTTCCGCGCCGCTCCCTTAATCATGTTTCTTACAAACCTTTCGATATCCGCCTCAGCATAAAGTATCCAGATATCCATACATCGCACACACTCTAACATGACGCGTAAGAACATACCCACAGCATCACCTCGCGACGCCGTCGATGTTGCCCTCAATCTTCTCTGCCGCGCGCGACATGACCCTTCGCTAAAATCAAGCGTCTGGGATGACGTAGTTGACACCTTTAATGAGCAACAACATGCGCAACTTGAGGATGCGACGCGTGTGTTGCGACTCACTTGGCCGACTGAGGTACCATTTCCCAACATGATTGCTTTGGTGAGGTGGCGGGAGGAGGCTGCAAGAATAAGTCACTCATCGTGAGGGAAGGCGAAGATGGAGGGGAATGTAAGGATGTGTATGCAACTAAGTCTGATGGCTAGTATGCATTCTTCGTTATGAACTACCACGTCTTTCCAATGTGCCACTACGGTTTTGCGTACTCTTGGTCGGTAGATGGAGCTTTGATCTGCAACCAACAGACTTGTGTCGCGTGCTGTCGGAATACTGTTTTCGCCTCGTCTTCCCCGTCGGCGTCGCTTGGGCGAGTCTTGCTGGTGGACAACCCGTAGGTGTGTAGCTGGTTTCTTTGCCTATCCTTGCAGGTGCCATGATGCCAGAGTTTTGCCATGGGTGACGAACCCCAGTCAACTTCGTTGGCCACTCCCAACTCTTCCACGCGGCGCCCTCATCCGCAGTACCGTCTCTCCTCGCCTCTCCCACTACCACATTTCCACCCTACCTTAAGTCGCCTTGCAAACCTTCTTATGCCCCTTCCAATCCACCTTCTGACATTCCTGCGAGCAATACCTCGTCTTCTTACACTTTCCACAAGCCGAGAAGATCTTCCCATCCTTCGGGCTCCTCCCGCAATTCGTGCAATCCCCCTCTTTCCTCGGCCCCCTCCCCTTCTTGAGAACCGCAGCCATAGCCGGAACCTTCATGTTCATCATCTCCACCAACGTCTTGATACTCATACCATCCGTGTCCTTGCTGTCGACGTCACCGCCATGCTCAACGTACCACTTGAGCATCTGCACGTTCCTGCTCGTGTCGCCGTGGATATCGGCCTGGGCTATCTCCGAACCAGGGGTAGCGCCGAAACGGTTCTTCGTGTTGACGGAACCGCCAGCATCGAAGAGGATCTGCGCGAATTCGGGCTGTACGTAGGGTTTCGTGGAGATGGCCCAGAAGAGGGCTGTGCTGCCCACGACGTCCTTACCGTCGACAGGCACTTTGAGATCATTGGCTAGATATTTCACGACGCCCAGTAATTCTTGCTTCCTGTTTGGCATCATGTGCAGCGCTGGCAAGAGTACATTGTAGATGGGTGTTTTCGTGGGGCCCCATCGTTTGGCGTAGAGATCCTTCCTGAGCGTCTCGCGAGCTTCCTCGGTGCCCCCGAGCTGTTTGATCATCATCTCCACGTAGTTTTGTAGTGCGTCGAATTCTTGATTGAAGATAGCGAGGAGGGTCTGGCCGACTGGGTCTTTGAGGTCACGACTGGGCACCGTGGGGTTGTTGTGGCTCCAACCGCGAAGTTCCATGCCGTCCATGCCAGCTAGCTGGTCATCGGAATTGATCATGTCTTCCACCGTACTTGATGCTACATATTAGTAACTCATTGGAGCTTCAAAGGTGTAGCGCTAAATACCGGCTTGACCGCCCTTGCATGTTCTGCAACATCTGCATGAATTGAGCCGACATGCTGTGTGTTGTTCAATTGGTAGATTGGGGTAAAGTTTATGTGGGTGCAGTCGTGTGAGAGTGATGTTGGATGGCAGGATGTTGGGACGGAGGGGTGACGGCGTGGCCCTTTCGCGCTTGGAGCTATCGATAGCACACGCGACTTCACGTGTTTCATACACAACGCGCAGTGGCGGCTGGTCTAACAGCTGAAGCATTTGGAGCGTCTTGTCTGCACCCGGGTCACTACTTTCCAAAGGCGATCAAGTCAGGGCACCGTTTTTTGACATAGGTATATATTGGGTAACGATGAAGCGTAGCAGCTCCAATGAAACAGACATTCCGATAAACGCCGGTCTCAAACTCCGCATCCAGATGCAAAGTGTGTCCAGCTCGCCAGGGTGGAAGGTATCGTATATCCAAACGCCAATGAAGATACAGGTATCACGAGATTCACGTCCTCAGACCCAGTCACATTCCGTGTTCTAACCCAACAAGTATCTACTTCTTCAATGCGGCGTCGTAAAGGCTGACAAGTATGCCAACCAGCGAGCCAATTTGCAGCCCGTAGTATCCTCCCGGGACATTGTTTCCTACGCGCGCAACCGCGTACTCGGAGAAGGGACCCCACGCACTTGGCGCAAATGCCATGTTGACAGTTTCCCGGTAGGCATTGTACGACAGGACTGCCCGCGCAATGTTGAAGATGAGCGGGTCAGCGGGGTATTGGCGCTCGGAAGACTTGCGCGAGGTGTTTGATCGAAGGGTCAAGTTGAAGAAGTATGAGAACATCAGTGGTAGCACCCAGCTCGTCAGCGACCAGAGGGTAGCTGGTGCCCACCACTCAGCTGAGAGCAGCGCCCAGAAGTTTGGTCCTCGAACGTCTTGGCTGCTCGTGTATGAGCCCAAGGCGGCGGGCGTAGCGAATAACGGAGTGGTGTCGAGCGTGTTGTACTGTAGTCCTACAGCTTCGACAAGCAGGATGATAGTTTGGATGGTAGCGACCGAGCTTGCGTTTTCGCGAACGAACTCCTTCAGCTCATCGATCCTGGTCCTGTCCCACAGCTCGACAGCCTTTGTCTGGACTACTTGGAAAGACTGGTCGGCGACCTCAGCGAGTTGGGCAGGCGATGCGGGAATGTCCACTTGATTGTACAGCTCGGAAACGCGACGAGAGACGGCCTTGGGTTCGGCTTGAGCAACCACCTCGGAAACGCGACGGGACATGGCCTTAGGTTCGGCTTCAGCGACCATCTCGGAAACACGTCGAGAGACGGATCTCGGCTTGGGTGTACGCGCGACAACGCTGCGGATTTCTGGTGTAATGATGGGGGTGGACTCTGGTCTGCGCGTTCGTTAGCCTCAGCGCGTCGCGCGTCGCGTATCCAAGTTTGACATACGAGGGGTCTTTGTTAAGAGTTCGGCGGCGCGTCGTCTTCGTGATGAAGGGTTCCGGCGAAGACTTTTCGCGCTTTACTGGCGACCCATTGCGCCCGTAGTAGTCGCTAAACTCGGGGAGTTTGGCAAAGGTGCTCTCATTGGAGTTGAGATGGCTCTCAAGCAGGTCCACGAGATCGTCTTTCAAAAGGCCATCTGCACTGCAAATGGCTTGTTAGTATCGCATACACGCGCAGGATCGATTCCAGCCTACTCGGGAAGTCTAGCCTTCTGCGCAAGGTCGATCAAGTCAGCTTTGCGCTTCCTCTGAAGCCAAGAGTGAGACATTGTGAGTGGTATAGATCAAGTCGCGTAAAGCTTGCGATCAAAACGGGTCAAGAATGCAAGCAGAAAAAGCGTCGTGGGCGAAAAAGGTGGGGGCGGTGTGGTGTTGATCGGATGCAGAGAGACTCTGGATGTAAACACAATGGCTGGGGCTCACGTGGGTCATCTGGGCGCTAACTGTTGCAGGGCTTAGCCTACAAAATACATTGATCTGCGGCAACACCACGCTGTCTCTGAGCAAGATGCGTTGTCTGCAGTCGTTTTGGTGGCATTCGCGAAGGTATAGCTCAGGTAGTCTTAACTGCATCAAGCCGTCGTCTGGTCCCCGTGCTTCTGATAGCTGATAGCCAGGGCTTGCAGGGATGTGGCTGCGCAGCTCCGGTCTTGGCCGAAATTTTCCAGACGCAACATCATCGCACGGCCGCAGCGGCAGCAACGTCACTCTTTGAAGATACCCTTGCACATATCAAACTTCTCTATACTCGACTTCCTTCACTACAACACCCACAGATTCAGTCCCAGTGCACCGCTGCCATCGAAGCGCTCATGGTACTTGCCCGCGTGGCCAACTTCTTCACAAACGGAGACTCTACCACCAACCTGACCGACGGTAGCCGGAGACATGGCGCAAGCACAGCATACGCAGTGGAACTTCCCATGGAGGATACCAAGCGGGGAGCTATGGAGGACGAGGTAGACGAGGAAGCAGCGCGGCCGCCATACCTACATGTGAGGATGCCTAGTCTGCAGAGATGAGGGATGCCAATTGATCACAAACAGGCAATGCTGGCAGGAGGAATAGGAGGCACCACAGGTGACATGTTGATGCATTCGCTGGATACGGTCAAGACGCGACAACAGGGCGACCCGCACATGCCACCCAAGTACACATCCATGGGCAACACATACTACACCATATGGCGGCAAGAAGGCTTCCGGAAAGGATTGTACGGAGGAGTGAAGCCAGCGTTTCTCGGATCGTTCTCGGGCACTGTGTGCTTCTTTGGAGCATACGAGTGGACCAAGCGGACCATGATTGACTATGGGATTGCGCCCTCGGTCGCATACTTCTCAGCCGGTACACCTCCCTACAGATCAATACAGCCCCGCCATGTACTGACAAACATCTAGGTCTGCTCGCTGATCTCGCTGCTGCCCCCGCATACGTCCCCTCTGAAGTCCTCAAGACTCGCCTTCAATTACAAGGCCGCTACAACAACCCCTACTTCAACTCAGGCTACAACTACCGCGGGACCATCGACGCCGCGCGAACAATAGCCAGGGTGGAAGGCTACAGCGCCCTCTTCCACGGCTATAAGGCCACGCTCTGGCGCGACCTCCCCTTCTCAGCACTACAATTTGCCTTTTACGAAGAAGAGCGGGACTGGGCCAAGAAGTACATGGGCTCAAACAACATCGGATTACCACTAGAAATCGCAACCGCAGCAACTGCAGGCGGCATGGCCGGTGTCATAACAACCCCCCTCGATGTAGTCAAGACGCGCATCCAAACCCAACACAACGGCCCGTCTCCCGCCTCTCCACCCGCACCCAAAGCACCACTCTCGCCCGCCGCGACCTCAAAACACTCCACTTCCTCTCAAACAACTAAGCCAAAACCGACGCAAAGTAGACCAATATCCACATCCTCCCCCTCCACAACCCTCAAAGCCCACGGCGCCGCAACCCTCGACACATCCTCCGTCATGACCGGCCTAAGGATAATATACAAGACAGAAGGAATAGCCGGGTGGTTCAGAGGTGTTGGACCACGCGCTGTCTGGACAAGTGTGCAGTCGGGTACAATGTTGGTATTGTACCAAACGCTACTACGGTATTTCGAGCAACATCCGCTGTCTGGCGGCGGAGATGTGTAAACGTATTTGTACGATTTGTAAGAATAAAGGAAGGGATGGGGGAGAAGGAACAGCATGATGGGACGGATATGCAAGGTTATAGATGCATTCAGCGGCGTTTACTTGTAAATATATGTGTCGCTGCGAGTATAGCGACGTTTTGAAGCGATAGAATGGTGGTTTATCAAGACATTTACACTCATGGTATCTGAAGTTTTCAAGCATTGCTTCCCTCGCCACTAAAAGGCATCGCTCGGTCAATAGCTTCGTTCAGCTCTCTCAACCCATCCTCACACATGTCCGTCACTTCCTCCTGCAATTGCGCCACCATATTCGCTCTGATCTCCTTCTTTGAACTCTCCAATTTCTGAATTGCCGCTTCAAGCTTCTTCCTCCTGCTCATGAGCTCCGATTTCATCTTCTTGTCCTGGGTAGTGTGAAGTTTCTTCTCTATCTCCAGTACTGCACTGCGGCCTTTGGCTACGGAGTCAGCATATCGTTTCTTGCGACCCTCGATTAATGAGCGCTGCTGCTCGTAAGAGGACTCATGAGCAGGGAGGCGGTTTAGTGTAAATTCAGACATGGTTATTATCTCATATGTGATAAGACAAAGGAAGAGGTGATGCGAGTATTTATATAGCAAAAACCTTCTACGTCGCGTTGGTCATCCCGTTGGTGACAACAAGGCTGAGTGACGCGAGGAACACGATCGCTATACCAACAACACCCGACACACCATCGCGATCGTAGCCCAGTGTCGTGGCGCTCACAAGAGTTAACCCAAGCTTTTATCAAGCACTCAATATGGTCAAAGACTAGGGTGGGGCGCGCTGGGATACGCGAGCATGCTTGCACGACGATTACTTGACGTCACTTGTAATACATTGACCGCCATCTCCAAAAACGACTATGTCCATCTAAAGCAGTCCCTAACACAAGATCACCATCCCCAAGAACTGATTTCGCTACCAATAGTCCATCCACAATGAGGCTAAATCCCAACGGCGACGCATCAACCTTCCCCAAACGCTCAGCCCTACCACACATCGCCGGCACCCCAAAAGACAACGCCTGGTTCTGGGGCGGCCACGATGAACTCGGTCGCTTGAACCTCCTCACCCCAGAGCGAATAGTAAAAGCCACGCAAGAGAATGTCAAAACAGGAGAATCAGTCTCACTAGACCTCCCCTTGAACGTCCCCAGCCCAGCCTTCTTCGGAAGAAAAGGCCTAAAACACCGCATCAAAACCATTGCCCCAGGCGCCTTCGACGATGAACTAGCATTCAACACGCAGAGCAGTTCGCAATGGGACGGTTTCCGCCACTTCGCACATCCAAAATATGAATGCCACTACAATGGCGTTCTCTCCGATGAAATCATGGCGGATGTAGACGACGACGGCGAAGACGGCGACGCAGCACCTGAGCGCTCACGTAAACTCGGTATCGACGCCTGGGCCAAAAAGGGTATCATTGGCCGGGGTATCCTCCTTGACGTTTACTCTTGGTCCCAGAAAACGGGGAAGCAATACGACACTTTTACCAACCATGGCATTACAGCCTCTGACCTCCTTGCCTGCGCAGAGTCTCAAGGCACATCCTTCCACACCGGCGACATCCTCCTCATCCGCACCGGCTGGCTCTCAACCTACCTCTCCCTCTCCCCCTCTGAGAAATCCTCCCGCAGCACCCTCCCCCACGACCAACATTTCTACGCCGGTCTCGCCGCCGACGACGCCATGAAAGACTTTCTTTACGACAACTACTTCGCGGCTGCTGCGACTGACAATGCGAATTTCGAGGCTTGGCCGCCGGAAAGCTTTGAGGGGAGCTTGCACGCGTGTATGCTGAGTATGTGGGGGATGCCGATTGGCGAGCTGTGGGATCTGGAGGGGCTGGGGAAGATGTGCAAGGAGAGGGGGAGGTGGGAGTTTTTGGTTGTGAGCAAACCGGTTGATGTGCCGGGGGGTGTGGGGAGTTTGCCTAATGCTGTGGCGGTGTTCTGAGGGAGATGTGAAGTGTGAAGGGATGAGTTTTGGTGGTTCGATACCCAGTTTGGAGAATTCAGCGTTATCCGTTTCTTTCTTACGCGTCGCGTCATCTTTGTTCTGATCAAGTGACTTCCACCTGTATCGTCCTAGTATATGGCACGCGAGTTTATGAAGAAGTTCGTTTGTATTAACACCTAAATCTGGCGTGGGGCATGGGTGTCCAAGAGCAAACGAGTTCCTTCGTAATGCCCGACTCCTGCGCAAGCCGAAGAACAACGAAGTTTCATCGGCGACTCCGCATCCCGCAAATCCAGATTCATCAAGCTAGAAACTTCAGCACTCTATCTAGGTTCGTCTTTGTGTCCGTGGTCTACATCTCTAGCCTCGACCTCGGTCTGGGCTGCAGCCGATCCCCTGGACTAACCCCAGATTCTACCTCCCGCTCTTAGCGCTAGCCTAATACACACGATGCGGCGCATTGCCGATGCTTCTTTGGGAAGAGCATTAAGCCTCAGACCTAAAAGGTATCATGAGGCTGAATATTCGAAGCTGAAGTTCTCGAAGACTTTTGATGGGCGCATTCGAGTTCCACCTCCATGACCAGCCCGGACCAAGGCCAGGCCCTGTCGAGACGGAGGCGTACTCCATCATTGTTGATGGGCACATTGCATCCTCGCTGGGCACTTTTCGCTCGCGTCCAGACCGTGAGAAGTGACAGTGATCGTGTATAAAGCTGTTAAGCGCGCTGCTTTTCTGATCAACCAGACTCGCTTTCTATTCTCTTGATAAATACACTTCAAGATGGCACCTGCCCTTCGCGCAATTGCGCTTGCATTGCGAGCCACCTCGTCAACCTGCCCGTCATCACCCACCTGTCCCCAGGACGACCAATGCTCGCTCACCTTAAATGGAGCCACTCTTCAAGTCAGCTGCGCGACTGACTACTATGGCGGCGATTTGCAATTGGCACAGGCAAGCATTCAACCTACAGTGAGCCGTCTCGAACTCAGCGCTCATCGTTTCTTAGACATCATCCCTGGCAAGCTGCATTCGAGCATGCTCCACAACCAAGGGATGCAATGCTGCAAGCTACGTGGATGGTAACTGCTACCTCAAAAGCACACTCAATGCGGCTCAGTCCAAGTATGGCATCTCTC